GGTCAGTATCTCTTAATTCGTGCAAGTAGGACCTAGCCCCAGGCCTGATTGAAACGTGCACTTTTGTCATTTTCGGCAGCTTTTTTTTTTCTTTTCTTTTCGTGCATGACCTAGACATCTCGGCTCTGACCCACCCCGGCCGTAGTCTAGACATCTTGGCCGTGGCCCAACCAGACTGTGGCGTAGACATCTCGGTCATGGGCTAGCCTGGCTGTACCTATACATCTCGGTCGAGGCCTCAAGCCTTAGGAAAAAAAAGAAAAGCAAGCCAGCGCCGCGACTGTAGGATTGTCAGATCGTGTAGCCGAAAATGGCTGCACCGAAACGAGCACCGCCCCAGCACAAAGATGACAAGCATAAATCGAGAAAGGTTCCTAAAAGGGAGATTAAAAAGGGGGGGAAAAAAAAAAGTGGCGCCACGTGGCCCTTACTTGAGAAGCTGGAAGCTGCAACTCCCAGAGTTCGTGACAGGCGCCCGTTTCTACGGGCAGCCTGTAACTATTTTAGGTGTATTCTTTTTTCTTTTTTTTTCTTTTTTTCTTTTCTTTAGTTGTTAGATTCTCTTCCCCCGATTCCCGTGGCAACGAGGAGAGAGTTCCCCTATCCTTGTGGCTCCATGGGGTGCTGTATCTCGCCATATTCCAGAGGAGATGCATCTGGTGAATGCAACTTCTTAGGGCTTGGCCCTACCACGTGCTACTGCGGCCCGTCCCAGTAGCACCGGGGCCTCCCAAGTGGGGGATCCCTGAAGGCTATCAGGCCACCCTGGGCTGAAAAGGCCACCGTTGTCAGATTGGACACAAGATTGAATTTACCTGGGTTGGTTAGTCCGATGATAATACCTCAAGGCCATCGCCCTTTAAAAAAAAAAAGTGGCATTCAAGAGGTCTTGGGTTCAATCCCCATTGGCCTCATGTACCTTCCTGGGCATGCTTGGCGCCCACCACTTAGAGATAGTCCGTTGGTCCCCACAATTGACATTAAAAAGCAGTCTCTGATGATGTTCATAGGGGGAGGGGTACTCAGGGAGCCACAACTACTGGCCACTCAGACGATGCTTGGTCCCTCTGCTACCGGCGAACTTCTTTCTAGGCTTGCTCATACCAGGGAAAGAAAAAGGAAAAAAATAAAAATAAAAATAAAAATAAAAAGAAATTTGTTGAATACTAACTGAGCCACTCCAAGCACCTATTCTAGCCGAGCCACTCCAAGCACCTATACCGACCGAGCCACTCCAAGCATCTGTACCGACC